TTTCTTCTTATTTGTGTTACATTTGCTAAAATTGTTACATCACATAATAGTATAGACCACAAACATTATTTTTCAAGTCAACATTTTTGACACAAACTCGGGTTGGATCCTTTTTGCATAACCACGTCCAATTACAGGCTATAAGACATTCCATATTAGTCGTCAGAGTTGACAATACATCTTGAGCCTTCTTTGCTTAAAGTTAGCTGTAGCATGTGTCCATGGACTATAGTAGCCACTTACCATCAGGTGAACTCACTCAGTTTTATAAAAAAGAAATCACTATGTAAATAATCACTGAATAAAATTGATATGAAGAAATTACTATCAACATAGACAAGAGAAAAAATTAATAGAGAACTATTTCAGATATTCTGATACAATATATATTTTTTTTTCTTTGAAAAACTCAGCCATCAATTTCAAAATAATGATAGAGAAAAAACTTTACCATCACATGCAATCTAAGTAACAATAGGACATAAAAATAAATTATTATATTCTTTAATTTTTAGAAGTAATTACAATGATACAAGAGTTATATAATGTTGAGTAGATTTTTACATTGGATAAGTTACACCAGACTTCCACCTGTTGAAAACCCACAGTGGTCGCCATCAGTCCATAGTCACAATTTTTATTATTAAAAATAAGCCTAAACTTACTAATATATTTTAGGAAATCGTAATATTATTATGATAAAATCAATCACAACATTGAAAAATTTAACATTGTGAACTATGCTTAATAAGTAACGGGGTAAAAAATTGAAGCTTCAAAATTATCCATTGATAAAAATATATAAATTTTTATATCACAAAACATTACTAATAACTTGTTTGTATCATTATCTGCTAGATACTTGTTATGATTCATTTTCCTGTTAAATGGAATTATTTTTGTTGTTGTGTTTGATATTTTATTGACACTACTGAACTGTTATTGTGCATACTAAAATTAACCCATGACTGGATGCAAAGTTAATGTACCTACCTGTAACATTTTTGATTTTTACAACTATATAAATAAAAAATTGTTATAAAGTTTGATCTCTTGGTATTTTTTATATTTAAGAAAATGTGCATGTTGCCACAATAATGTATATATAACTTAGGGTTTCTTTGGAAAAAATATCACAAATATTATTTCCATTATCCATATTACCAACTTCCTGACTCTACGCTGCTATTGAGAATTTCTTTACATAAGAATCAAATAACTTATTTTCTGGACCAACTCGGCACCACGTGTTCAGCAGTTGCACTTCAGACCACTACACCCACGTGGCAGTCAAACAATACGTAATATGAAAGGAAAACGAGGAAAGTATTGCAAACTTTGTAAGTAATGATTTCTTATTGTAAAATAGGGACCTAAATCCAAAAAATAAACTGATAAATAGTTGTGTTGACAGATTGACAAAATGAAATTTTAAGGGTATTTTGCACAACTTAAAAATTAAAGTTGTATGCACATAATAGTTCAATTTTACCATGTAGTGGTGGTGTAAGAAAATTCACTACCCCATATCATCCCATGGGTGTCGTAAGAGATGACAGTGAGAAATAAATCAGGAGATGGGCAGTAGCGTTTTCCTAATAATGATTAAAAATAAAAAAATTGTGGTAGCTAAGCGTGGCAACTATGGCAAATATCCCCTTATATAATTAAAAATATACTAGTTATCTATGTCATAGGCTACGTCTACGTTGTTCACTTATTATACTCAACGTTTCCTCGTTACAATAAAAAAAGACAATTAGTATATCAACCAACTTCTATAATCACATCACGGAAAAGATAGATAGGTAGGATAGATAGATAGATTTGAGTTAGGATTTCTAAGTTTTATTTCTTAGACACTTGACCCTTATCTAAAAATAAATTATTGCAATATCTTCATTTAATATAATGTTATTAAAGTTTTAATAAACAACCATTTTTATACAGGGTTTTTCACACTTTCAACTGTACATTGCTTGCTCTCATGTTAGAAACCCAGAAAATTTATATATTTTAGCTACAAACAAAGCAGCTAATAATTTTTACAAAGAACTTTTGTCTTTTTGGTGTATTTTCTTTCGCACATCAATAATTCACACAAAAAAAAATAATCATACAAAATCAGACCGATACGACTTAGGGATCTTCAAGGAAAGAGCTTACACCCTTCTAAAAGGCCGGCAACGCATCTGCAATTCCCCTGGTGTTGCGGTTGTTCATGTGCGGCGGTAGTCACTTACCATCAGGTGAGCCGCATACTCGTTTGCCCCCTCTTCTATAAAATTATATATATACACAGTTCAATTGGTAACTTACTCCTTTTTTGGACATCTACTAAAAATATGGTTAAATTCAACCTTTCTTTGGATTTGGTCTCACTAAGTCTCAGAAGGTACTTGTTGGAGCAATGACAATAAAATGGCAGTAAAGGACAATTTTAAATAAATAAAAACACATGTGCAGTTCACACGAGGTAGCAGTGAAACCTTCAGAAAAGGAAACCGAGATAATAGGAAACAATGTATACTCTATTCTATTTCATTCTCTGACAGGCTAAATCCTATAGATGTAGATATATGTTTCGTCTCTTTTTCGTTTCATCCAGTTTCAAAACAACTATTCTAATCTAAAGAAGTTTTCACTTCAAAAATATTGTGACTGATTAAGATTTTGAATAGTATAGAATAGAATAACTGTAACTGCTGTTGTAGCTCAGATGGTTAGCGCTCACTGTAAGTTTCACAGTGCACGAGCAACCCGGGTTTGATCCCCACCGGCACCAATGAAATTGTTAATTGCAATTAAATAATGCTGATTTACCAGATGCTCGGCGGTGAAGGAAAACATCATGAGGAAACCTGCATGTCTGAGAAATAAGAGAAAAAAAATTTGAAGACATGTGAAGTTTGTCAATATGCATTAGGGCAGCGTGGCAGACATTTCCTTGCCCTAAAACCCTCCCAGAAATGAGGGGAGGCCTGTGCCCAGCAGTGGGACGTATGTAAGCTGTAACTTTAGAATAACTGTTATTCAATACAGATTAGAAGAATATTTATTGAAGATCATTTATTTTACTATTGGTTCGAAATCTGTCTTTGGAAGAACAAGCGGGAAACCCAGGTCTTTAACACATTAATCGCCGTGGGGGTCACCGGTGACCGGCATCATACCCTTCTCTTGGAGCCATGGGGGTCACCGGTGACCGGTAAGGAAGACTAGTTTTTGAATCGTTGCTGAGAGCCGGCAGTCACTCGTAACTGTTGTTTTACAGTACGTTGTGACCCGCACGGCGCCCAGGAACATTTCTGAGCGCTTGGTTTCTAAATTTTTATAAGTTTTCAAGTAAATTTTCGTAAAAATTGAATGGAAATAAATGAAAAATGTATTTTATTTTTATATTTAATTAAGTTAAAAAAAAAACATATTTATCAAGAAATAGGGGTACGACTTTCCATTGACGTCAGTGGAGTTTGGTGTTGATACGTATTTTTACAGAAAGATTACACTATTATAAGCACACACACAAAGTCTCAATATACGGAAACGCGTAATTTTTGAGAAAAGAATAATTGAAAATCAATTATTCTTGCAATATTTATGTCTAATCTGCTAATAAACTGGCGCCATTTTGTAATGTCATTGTCGACGTCAATAGGGATGTCGATTCTTTCCGAAAAAGGTCGATTTTTAAATCGATTCAAATCGTAAGCTGATGTATCGATCCCTAAAAAATCGATTTCTAAAATATCGATATTTTTTCATGTTTGCATTTATAATGTAAATATAAATCCATTTTATGAGAAAAAAATCCCCTTCATCATAAAAAAATAAGGGGACTGATTCATAAGGATTTCTGTATCTATTTTGAGACTGCTACGTCTCCGGCGCTGCGGGAAGAGCAACCTCTACGCCTTAGCGTAACAAATCGCAGGCATCCCTCCTCGCCTCCGCAGCTTCGGCTTGTTGGTCGCCTGCGGCGACCAGCCTCAGCCGCTCCGGCTCGTCCGATGCCTACGATTTGTTACAGCAGGCGGAGGCTGCTCCCCCTACGCGCCTCCGGCTCTATAAAACCACTCTAGGGGTAGGACAGACTCGTACCAGGTGGAGTCGGGGTCAATCAATTCGGTTCTTTGACATAAGTTGAACCTAACCTATTTTATTTATCTGCCCTAATAGGTACTGTTAAATAAAACAAATTTCAATAAGAGATCATTTATCATGGTATCTTTCTTGTTTTTCATAAAATGGGTTTATATTTACATTATAAATAGAAACATTAAAAAATATAGACATTTTAGAAATCGATTTTTTTCGGAAAGAATCGACATCCCTATTGACGTCGACAATGACATTACAAAATGGGGCCAGTTTATTAGCAAATTAGACGTAAACATTGCAAGAATAATTGATTTTCAATTATTCTTTTCTCAAAAATTACGCGTTTCCGTATATTGAGACATTGTGTGTGTGCTTATAATAGTGTAATCTTTCTGTAAAAATACGTATCAACACCAAACTCCACTGACGTCAATGGAAAGCTAAGCCAGAAATAGGTGCCTAGACATTAAAAAAATTATATAATAGTATTGAAAACTTAACAAAAGTCAAAACTTTTTTAAACGAGACAAGTGACCGGCGAAATGAACGCGTGGCGCTGTGAAGCAAATTTCAATCTGTGCGCTGCGACGGCCACCAGTGACCGCAAACAAAAAACCCTTATAATTTGCAAAATAAGCACATAATAAAAAATAAAAAAATGTGTACATATATATCAGAACATATACTATTTATATACCAAATGGCCCAAATGGAATATATATGTCAAATTAGCTCGGCAATTAGTGTTAAAAAAACTTATAATTTAATATACTCTACAATTAAATACAAAAAAAAAGGAAACAGCATGGCAGCCATCATACCATTCTAGGTGTTATTCAATCGTGTCTTACAGGTTATTGAAGACATACAAGTTTAATAGAAAGATGAGAAACACTTACGTATGGGATGCAGCAATTCATCACTGGCATCATCTGAGCGATGCAGTTTAAGGATAGCAGTCAGCCAAGTATGCAGGTCCTGCTCATTCTCTGCAACAATACACAGTTGCTCCTCTTTCGTAAACAGAGCAATTACATGTTTCTGTTTTAGATCCAATCTTCTCATTATGTTATAGCAGCTCTTCAAAGGAAGAACCCGACGTGGTGCAGCTCCTGATCGGAACTTCTTCTCCGACTCATAATACTCTAAGCGAGCGGAACAGTCTGCAGTTTCAGCACGTAGCACAAAATATTTCTTTTTCATTGTCTTCAATTTCCGAAGGTGGCCCTGGCGCACCACGGCGCCTCCGCCTGATATCGCAGCCATGTCAATGTGTCCGCATCCCAGCCTTAAGACTCAGACACACGACAACCGCTTAACCTTGAAGTTGTTTACGTGACGAAAGTCAAACGAATTCTAGTCTTCTCTTCACCGTCGACGCGACTAAAAATACGTACTATCTCTTTTCAATAGCGCGTAAATAGTAAAGCGCTCGGTATTAAATCGAATGGCGTAGCAAATCCGCGTCCGGCGTAGTCCGACAGGCGCCATATGACCGCTTACGCTTTTACTCTCTGCCGCGCCACTATGATTCTCGGACGAGATAACAACACTTGCGTCGCTTTGAAAATATCAAAATACATCAACAACAAACACTTTTCAATCCATAATTCGGTACGCTCGCTATTACACTCGGTCATTCACAGACACTTGAGTTTAGAAAGAGATAAAATCATTCATAGTAAACGTAATCTGCACGCCCTTCCGTAGGAACGCAGGGCATGGAAGTCACGCCGTCGTCATGCCTGTGCAGTATCAAAACAATATATTTTTTGTCATAACAAATATAAGGACAAATTTCACTACCACAAGAATTACAAGAATCAAATTACGCGATAAGTTTTAAATGTTTTGCACTTGATTTATAAAAACTCATGTATTTGCGCGTCGTTTTTTATTGGTTCCTCGCTATTGCGTGTCATTTATTCGAGCGACGATTACGAGAAAATAATACTTTACTACTATACAGTTCGGATTCACGTACACACAACATTGCTAATATTATGCCAATGCCAAGAGAAGAGACAGAATATTTTTTTTTTGGAGTTTATGGCCTGGTATCTAGACCTTTAGGCCAAGTCTTAAGTATTTTTATTCGGTTTATTGTAATTTCCCCACTCCTTCATAGTATACTGCTTCACAATATGTTGATGCGTCACATTGTGCAGTTCTTGGGAGATTTTGGCGGCAACTTGATCCAGCAGACAGCTGATAGTTGGCGATGGTATCTAAAGGTGCCTATGCAAACAAACAGCTTATCTTGAGAATCCATCACCATCAGAGCACTTGTTTCACTGTTTCCACTAATAGTTCACATGCGTAGACACTTAATACACAAAATCGCAACACTTTTACATATCAAAGTCCACTTCAAACCATTATTTAAACAATAATACAGGAGCAGCAAACCGCCGCCGGTCAATTTCCCGCCAAAACCAAGAGACAGAATATAATAACAACCAATGTTGCCATTCGATCGCGTTCAATGAGCGAAATTGCAGAGTATGTATGACTTCGGTTGCCATTGCATAAAAAGAAAAATAAATGATACAGAGATCAGTTCTATAGGGTTTTTGTGACTCGAACTCGAACTCGTTTTTCTATTATACATGGTTATTTTTCAAAGAGTAGCCAAATTTTAAACTTAAGTTTTTTTTATATGATAGGGTGACAAACTCAAGTTCAAATATATAAATAATGATATACCGTTACAGCACTTTTGAAAAATACGAGTAAATAAGGCTCCTACTTTTATTTGAAATTATCCCAAATTTAATGTCATTTATGGGCAACAACGTTTTGCCCTCCGATCGACCCTTACGTACACGTGTGCGTGTGCAGTAAAATTAATGCATTACCTGAGATAAAAAGGATAGAATGTTTGAGATTATTCAATTAATTTTTCTTCACCATTTGCTTATATTACTTATTTTAAACCTTCTCTGCAAATTTCTCTGGTTGTTGCAAAATAACCCTGTATAACGAAATATAAGAATTATAATTATCCGTACAAATTTTATACATTATGCTGTGTTGGCTGGTATTTATGACAAAAATTAACCGAAGTTGATAAACGTTCTGTAGTCACATATTAATTATGAAAATTAAAGATCATCTGGTGACGGTGGCTACGTCCATAAATTGAATGATTTTTTTGGAAATCCTTTTAGTATCATTGAATTTTCTCACATCTCCCCTTTGCTCAGAATAACACACTGGTGGCAATCATTTATTCCAAGTTCTTGGTAGGTTCAAAAACAGTATTCGTGAAAGCCATGTTCTTCAAATAGTTTCCACAGTCTCTTGCAATGACTCAGATCGTTTTAGAACACTCCGAGTAATTACTTGAGGGTTTTATTTAAAGTTCCTACGAATTGATTGATGTAAATTAGCACATTTATAATACGCATAACAGGGTTGACACTGGCTTCCATTATTTGACTGAATCCCTACCATTAAGGAAATGTGAGAGTTGTTGTAGATCCTACTATGGTAATAGACATACTACCATAGCCTGTATTTTTTTGTCAATTTGCCATAGAAAACGGCAATTGCCGTAGAAACAGCAACTCTGATAACAACATTGCCTGTGTTGTGATAGATATTCGTGCTCATCAAAGTCGTAAAGCAAACATTGTGCTTGTAGGTATTAATAGGATGGATTAAAATAGTGGGTTGGCAAAAAAGTATTTAGTGAAATATTTACAATTCAATGCTTATTCTAATGTTTAATTATTTTAATAATTTTAAGCGGACTAAGCAATATTATAATATAATGGTATCGCACTAAATCACAAAGAATACTCGCGTGAAATAACTACGTAACATTTTTGAATTCGTTTTATAAATGAAAGAGAACCGGTAATAGATTTTAGTGGTAAGGAAGCATACCATTAACGAAAACGCTTTTCTGATTCCTAATACACATCATAAATCCTAATACGTCATAGGTGCAGGTGTCTATAGGTTATCCACAACATACCCAGAAGATAACTTTACACTACATTATACACATACTACATATTATATTCCACGATTTTGCCGAAGTTTTTAGCCTCTCACGACTAGTTTGACTAGCCTTTTTTTTGGTTCAAGTTAGAAATTTTCAACAAAAGATCTACTCCAATACTGCTAGCAAATTTTCATGATCAGCAGCGATCATTTCACCATCGTGTGAGCAGCATGCTCGTTTGGCCCCTCTTCTAAAAAGCCGTAGTACTTGATCAAGATTATAAAAATCACATATTAGCTGTAACACGACTAAGCTACTTATCTTTATATGTTATGTAATTTTTTTATCCATGTCTATGTGACTGAACTTCTCCTTAATGACTGGACTCATTTTGATGACATTGTGTGTGTGATTAAATTGATTCAAAAATGGTTTAAATTCACAGTTGTACCTGGTAGATGGCGCAGTTGTCGAGATCGAGAAATCACCCATGCGTAGCCGTGGCTGATCGCTTGTCTACAGACTTGAAAAAGGAGCCGGTACTCAATTCGACTGTATGGTTTTTTTTATGTGTGTTACCTCATAACTTTTTCCTGAGTGAACCGATTTCGATGATTCTTTTTTTATTTGAAAGATGGTGCTTTAGATGTGGTCCCATATAAATTTGATCAAGGTCTAGCCAATATTTGTGAATTATTCTTAATAATTTATATTTAAGTGATTTGTACAACATTTTTACTTTTATATTATTGTAATATAAAGTCAAAAGAAATTTCATTTAATGGGTAATAGCCAGGTTACAAAAATATTGTAGAATTGTTTACGTTTCCTATGTCATACGTTTATATGTACATATGATATTTATCCTCCTATTTTTTTTGCTGACAATAGATTGCTAGTTTTTTATGTTATTACATATTAATGCACTAACGAACTAACATTTCACGTTGTGGTAAGCCCTACATACCAAGAACAACTGCAACCAGGTTCTAACAAAGAATATTGTTCATATAATGTTTTACTATATAAATACAATACGTTTTGAGATATCATGTTCATAGCAATATTTTTGAATTTGATATGAACTTGACATGGTAAATTTTATTTCAATTCAAAACAAAAACACCGAAAAATTAAACGTATAGAAACGCTAGATTCGTGACGCAAAAACCCTGGCACATGGGGAAAAAACATGAAATGTCAAATGTGCTATAATTTTGGAAAAATAGTAAGCGTAATTTTATTTTCGATGTACAATATTTTTGAGGGTCTGAACCCAACACTGGCGTAAACTAAAGTCCCGTTGGCCCTAAACTGTCATATTTTAGGGCCAACGCATTTGTGCTACTTAGTTGCGCGGTTGGCCCGGTCCTTACGCTAGTAATATATAAGTCAATGCTCATTATATATTACATTTGAGAATATAGCATACTCAATTAAGTCAAGTGATGTCTCTTTCGATACATATAAGTTTGGCGGGCGCTGTAGAAATCTCCAATTACGAATTACACAAATTAACTTCTTTAGTCTTATTTTTAAAAGTTATTTTAATTAGTTTCTGGTACAAGCTACAGTTAATTTCGATATAGAAGTCCCATGTAAAACATGTGAAACTAAATGTAAAGAGAATTTGGCAGCACATGTCAAATTTAGCTTTAGCAAAAATCTATTGCGCCGCGACTAAAGGACTTCTTTCGTAAATAATAACCCTCTTTAAACCGGTGACTATTAATAAACCACATTTTATGACCGCTTAAACCTACTCTAAGTTATTAATTAAATGTAAAAAAATTAAGATACAAATCCAAAGTACATATACTTTCATTTTGATGAGTTTATAGATGTCGTCTAGATTACGTGTATCCAAACGTCGTATTTATAATTTAAACTGATGATGATAACACTGCTCAATATGTCCGTCCTCTTTTGTGTCCGTCATTCATTCACTCATTTGCTTGCTAAAAAAAGTACAGAAAGGGAATTGTTGGCAAATTACTTGAGATAAATACGTGTAAAAGAATTTGTTCTTTTATTTTCTACAATCTAAAAGTTAGATGGTACTTCTAGACTTAAAATATAGGCTTTCGATATTAATTAAAGTGTTTACATTGTGAAATCTCGATAATTTTAAGTTGCCGTGAAATGTAAGTACCAAGTACGCAGCGAAAGGAGAGTTTTCGGTGTTTTGAGTGATTGGTGATAGCATAAATGGATCTTTCTTCTGCAAAGTTATCTGATATCGGAAATAGATAAAAGAATCCTCGTTAATTTTTTTATCGTTTTGTACTATCTTCTTTGCAATCTATGTAAACAGCATTGAGTTGCAACAGTGTCTTAGCTTTTGCGGTTTCGTATTTTGCAACCATCATTAGAGCGTGAAAACCGTGTCAAGCTTGCACCCTCTATATATTCTAATTACACAAAGTCTTATTCAAGTTGCATTATTCTAATTGGATCATTTTTATAGGTATTAGTTGTGAGAGACAATGGACCACAGATCATAATATCTAAGGTAAATTAAAAACATATTTTATACTTATGAAATAGATTTATGAATAATATATTTAATATTTTTTCCATTAACCTTGTGACATATTCATGGTATTTATTACGTTTTCAGCAGTATTATGGCATCTGGAACATCGTCTTTAGAGAGCAATGGAAGTAATGGTAAGTAATTTTTTGTGTAATATATTTACAATATTTTACCGTAACTATTACAGTGCTTGGTTACTAGTTTGAACCATTAGCTTGCTTGTCACTCAACAACAATAAAGAATACATCAGTAATTGGGTAGTAGGCAGAAATGTGGTAATTTAGAAGTATGTTAGTTGTGACCCTTAACCCTCGACTTGTCACATATTTTTTCAAACATGAGTATTTACATGGGGTCTCCAGAGACCCCAAAATGTCAACAGCCAATAAACATCTCTTGATAGCTCTAGACATAATGTTAGTAAGTAATTTTTAACAAAACTGATTACAATAAGACTAAAAAAGAAATTAAAGATATAACTGTATTTACTTTTTAGATGTAATATTAATTAACAAGATCAATAAAGTCTCTGTTTTGGACATGCTATTAAAACAAGATAAACTTTCTGAGAAAATTTTGCAATTTCGTTGTTAATTATATTTATATGAGATCTTATAATATAAAGCAAATATTAAAAAAATTAATACATTTTCAAAAAATATGTAAAATTTTACAGCTCAAAGTTAGGCTAATTTTCATTTTGGGCGGAGACTTCACACTCTATTATGCAAAAATTTCCCTTGCAAAAATGACATGTAGATTTACATTTTTTGTCTATATGTCTTAGACTATGAATAAAACTCTGCCTCGTAGTAATGAACTATGTGAGGTTGAGCCGACCCATTGGCATGAATAACTATACTACTTATATAGCTGCAGCATGGCTCTACCAAGTATACATATTACAGTTTAATGTTTTGCATCCTGTTGTTATTCGGAAAGTTCAGATTCACTAATTTCATCTGTATTTGCAACATTACTATCTTCATGCTTTGTTTTGTAGTTTGTCCATTATTATAATTTTTCTAATTGCAAATTATTTAAAACAATATAAAAAACATGAGGTCCCAGGTTCATTCAAAACTAGTTTATTCTGTCAAGATATTTTTAGTAGCAGGCCGGAATCAACCCTGTGCCTCGGGAAACACGTAAAGCCGTTATTCCTGCGCCTGATAATTCGCCGGACGTTGAAGATTGCCATCCTATCGGATTATGATAGTGAGGAATAGAGTCCACATGTGCTTGGGCATACACTCGGGCACTATAATCCCGTCTTGTGCGGAAGGCTAGTGTCCGTTGAGCCTGGCCGTCGTGATCGAAATTCAGTCTGGAGTACAGCTACCACTACCACTTACATTAATAATGAAAATTTTAAGCTTTGGTTTTTATTCTATATTTTACTTTAATATGTACATTTATCGAATCATCCAAATGTTATCACTGCCCTTTAGTTGACTGGGAGAGAAATCTTTAAGCCTTTATATTATTTTATGTTATGTTCAATAAAGAGTAAATAAATAAATACATTTACATACAAATACAAACACATCATTAAAGTTACAGCCTATACAGACAGGGTTATTATGTAATAACCGGCCAAATTTGCAGAAAAGGTTCAGAATAAGTAATATACGCAAATGGTGAAGAAAAATTAATTAAAAAAAATCTCAAACATTCGGTCTTTTTATCTTTTAAATTCAAAATGCGTGGAAATGCATTATATTAACTGATTTTACTACGCATGCACACATTCGTAAGGGTCGTTTGGTAGACAAAAATGTTGTTGCCCTTAAATCACTTTCGATTTCGGATAATCTATACAAATAAATAAAATTGAAGTGTCTGTTTGTAATGTCAAAATTACAGTTTTTTACTAAATGCATATGAAATTAAATACGATACCTATAACTAAAATACAATTTTTAAAATTTTTGTCTGTCTGTCTGTCTGTCTGTCTGTCTGTTTGTTCCGGGTAATCTCGGAAACGGCTGGACCGATTTTGACGGGACTTTCACTGGCAGATAGCTGATTTCATAAGGAGTAACTTAGGCTACTTTTATTTTAGAAAAAGAATCAGGGTTCCGCGCAGAAACATAAAAACCCTAACACGCGAACGAAGTCGCGAGGAACAGCTAGTTTCAAATAAAAGTAGAAGCGTTATTTACTCGTATTTTCAAAAACTGCAATAACGGTATATCGTTATTTATATATTTGAACTTAAGGTTAAAATGTGGCTACTCTTTATACTTTATAATAACCCTGTATACTAGTCTCATAGTTGGGCTAATTTAATGCCGATGCTTGGTTATAAAATACATTGTTAAAATACATTAATTCCAATGTAGTATACAAGTATTTACTATATTGAGCTTAGTCATATATTTTTTTCTTATCCATATGTTATTATTATAGTATAACTTCCTCATTAGGCTCTTAGATGTTTATTAAATTCTTAACACAAATAAAAACATGTTGTAAAATGCAAAGCACAACAGACCATTGTTACATCAGCCAACCATTTTTATATTAAAAATTTCAATTGTTTCACTGAAAAAATAAGCAATTATTTACACTATAGTTTTGTTCTTTGATAATATTATTTTATTAACATTCGTTTAGAACTGTAATAGATAAGACATTGAGCAATCACCTCATCTAGTTAATTGATCCTCTTTTTACTACATAGTGACAAGAGCTTCTACTATATACTAAGAAAGGAACTCCATTCCAACTGAGTGTTCCACGACACTCACGCACGGTTTTTTCATAAATGCTGATTGATAGATTTGCAACACATCATTAACTTAGACATCATTCCTAGTACACATACGTAAACTCTCACGTTTGTTATCCAGAGGGTTAGGCAGGGACAGGTAGAAAAGTAGGTGGTACTTAATGATTATAGAACAATGTTGTCCAGTTTGCAAGAGAGTGTGCGTGCACGCGATAAAATTCTTCCTCATAATATATCTGCCTTTACTGGTTATTATATTTGCACACCTCAAACGTGAAGCAGAGGTTGGGCTTTATTGTGTACTTATTAAGGTCACACAATTCACACTAAATCAGGTTATTATATTTATACCACACTGATAATACTAATTGACGGCCTCATGGCGCAGTGAATTGGCATTAAGTTGTGGCTCTGAGTGCCACAGGTTCCAACAAGAAACAAGTATATTTATGGTCTAGAAATAATGGTTTCGTGTCTTGATGTTAGTCCTTGTGTACTGCCTCCACGATACAGGAGAAAATCCTAGTGTGTCGGTAACATTATTAAAAAAGGAAAACAAAACTAATACATCATGAAAATTTTGTATGCGGTAGAGTCATGTTTTGCACGTGGTAGTGTCATGCTGCAGCTATGTTATGGTTGTAGCACAAATGGGTTGGCTCGACCGGAGAAAGACCATGCTCTCACAGAATACAGCAGAAATAGCAGCTTAACACTGCTGTGTTTCGTATGGCGAGTGTAGAGAACCGGAGACCCTTTTTACTGGAATAGGCATTCCATCTTAGTCCTCACAGGTGACAACACATCTGCATTTTGATTCTTTATTGAGGATAGATGTAGATGTCTATGGGTCACAGCAACCACTTACCATCAGGTGGACTGTGTGCTCGTTTGTCACCCTATCCTATAAAAAAGCACATTCATATTATATATATTTAATTAATTTAAGGTATATTTAGTTCACAGATTATTAAATATAATTTAATTTTTTATCTTTTCAGAGTCAATATCCAACAGTTACGTGAACAATGAGCGGCACAATACCAGCCAGATACAGAGCATCCCCCACCAAATAGACTATGAAGTGCTGACCGCCAACCAGTGCTATGAGAAGCAAAACTATTCTGTGAAGGGCCACGGCCATAGTATGAGTGGTACATACGAACCGTTGCAATATGATGTCATCAACAAGCAGACTAACGAAACCCTGAAACAGCAGTGCGAGAAGGCGCTGCACGATTTAAATCAGTTGAGGCGCCAGCATACAGAGACGTCGCGGAGATGTGAGCATGTCATGAAGGTAATAATAATGTCCAGATCGAATTACGGTCACGGCCAGTCTCAACAGAGATTAGTTATTTGCGCAGGACAAGTTCATAGTGCCCAAGAGTATGTGCGAGCACAGGTGCACTCTCTATTTCCTCACTCTCATAGTCCGATGCGACGGTGATTCGGCACATATCGACGCCGACGTTAATGCGCAGGACTGACGTCTTTACGTGGTTTTCGTGGCACGAGGTTGAAACACCACCAAACTCCTGATTGTATTTGAGAATTTCTTGACAGAAAAACCCAATTACTGATTTAGACCTGACCTAGAATTTAGACCCAAGACCTTCATGATGAGCAATCACGTTGACGACCCTCTAGACCAAGGAGCCAGTCTGAAGGTAATATAAAATTAGTATGTAAGGTGGTAGAGCCGTGGTAGCTCAGATGGTTAGCGCTCGCTGTGAGCTTCACAGTACTCGAGCAACCCGGGTTTGATCCTCGCCGGCACTAATGTAATTGTTAATTGCAACTTTAAGTGCTGATTTAACACGTGCTCGGCGGTGAAGGAAAACATCGCGAGGAAACCGGCATGTCTGAGAAATAAGAAAAAAAAATATTTCGAAGACATGTGAAGTTCGCCAACACGCATTGGGGCAGCGCGGCGGACACTTCCCATCCCTAAAACCCTCTCAGAAATGAGAGGAGGCCTGTGCGCAGCAGTGGGACGTAAATAGGATGCAACTTTACTATTTAAGGTGGGATAGATGTAGATGTTTTTGGGTCACAGCATCCACATACCATCAGGTGGACTGTGTGCTCGCTTTTCACTCATATTCTATAAAAAAAATCACAGTACGCGAGCAACTTCTGGCAATACGTGATAGTGCCATGCTGCAGCTATAACATGGTTGTAGCACAAATCGGTCGGCTCAATTTCGGAAGGACCACACTCTCACCAAATATCAGTGTGCGGCAGCAGTTTAATGCTGCTGTGTGTCGTATGTTGAGTGTAGAGAACTGGAGATCCTTTTCACTGTAAACAAGACATTTCACCTGAGTCCTCAGGGGTGACAATGCATCTGCATTTTGATTCTTAATCGTAGATAGATGTAGATGTCTATGGACCACAGCATCCACTTAACATCAGGTAGACTACTAGTCTACCTGATGTTAAGTCTATAAAGAAAAACAATTTTAAGTGATGATTTACCACATGATCGGCGGGGAAGAAAAAAGTGAGGAAATTTGCATGTCGGAGCATTTTCACGGACATATGAAGTTGCACACATTGTAGCAGCACAGCGAACTAATTGTTCCATAATCCACTCACTAATAAAAGAAGCCTGTGCCGTGCCTGTAAGCAGTGGGAAGTATGGTTGCTTCAAATTTAGTTGAAATATGCTACATATTTTCTCACTGGCAACCGACGACTTATGGCGGCTTGTATTGTCCATCCAAAAATGCTAAACTTAATCTTCTCATCTGATGATGGGTGGAGCTTCCAGCTTTAGTGAACTTTGAAAATAGGGTTAGTTATTTTTTAAGTGTTACGCATTATTGAATAGAATTATAATATATTTTATCGCGTTTATAGAATTATAATATATTTTATCGCGTTTAATTTTACATTTTTTATTTAGCAATGTTTCGGCCGCTTTACAGCTCCTATGGGTAACATACAAAGTTCCAACGTTGTCTGTTATAAAATTACTATTTGAAAAAGAAAATGTTTCTTGTTGATTCTGCCCAGGGGGACAAAAGTATTTTCCTGAACCAGTGGTAAATAAAAAAAAGGACTTTCAATAAGATTTACTTGTAATCTATATTGAATAAAAAATATTATTCTATTTTATACTTACTCCATGGTGCTCTTAGACTCACGACACTAATTTTGCATTTTTTCCTAATTTTTATATTTTCATAATTCTGCATGCACATTTTGGAATTGACAGTTAGCATAACCTTTTAAAATTGTGTAATTTCAGGAGTTAGAGTATTTCCGCGGTCAGCACCGAGCAGCTATGAACCAGTTGGAGGTGTCTGCTCAGGAGGCGAGCAGTCTCCGTGGCAAATATGGTGACCTTCTTAATGACAATCAGCGGTATGATATATTATGTCTACTTTCTTTTATAATTGATTTAAAAGCATTTTTTTTGTTGAGTTGATTTTTGATATTGTTTCTTCTGTATACGTTAAAAATCATTCTTTCCCTCCATCTTGTCCTGAAAATATTACAATAGTTCAGTAAAGAAATTTTTGAGCACTCAGTCTTCCTTATGGTAAGTAGATGCTGTGGCCTGTACACATCTACATTTATTCTTGATTAAGAATCAAAATGCAGGCAGATGCGTTGTCACTAGGCATGAGACTGATATATCAAAACGTAACTAATAATGTTATGTTATCAAATATCATATCATATCGATAAACCTAAGAACATAACCGTTAAATTATTCCAACCAAAACCCAAAATCGACTAACCAACGTACGAAACGTAAAACGCAAACTGTAACGATATACCAAAAACTGAAAACGGCTCAAAACTAACCGATGTCCTTTGATATTCGTTGTTTCTCATTCTAGCGACAGTATCATAAATATGTATGAAAGAGATGAAGCGAATATGGATTTCGTTGCGATGTTTTGGTTGTTATCATAAAACGGTGCACGTAGTGAAATATAATTATAAGATTCTTAACAATAAAGTCGAATTTTTTTAAGTTTGTGTAGTTGTGAGAGTTGTCAGATTTAAATGATCTTTAGGACATTAGGCACTAGACTTAGATTTGTTTGATCACATTATATTTGGTTTAGGCAACTTTTGTTAATGTGAAAGTTAGAATTTGATTTTTTTTCAAACATAACAATTACGCACTTGACATTGGTGGCGTGTGCCGTTCAGTATGAAATTATTCGTAAAATTATTAATTTTTGACGTTGCGTTTGTGCATTTATTTGTAATATTTGTTTGCATTGTGTACATTTGTTTTAAAACTTTCCTGTTAGTCCTAAGCCTAGTTAAGTATATGAAGGTAAATCGCCAACTTAAATAATCATTATAAAAAATAATGCTTATTAATATAATATAAATAAATAAACTATGTACCTATAATAATTTCTTCTTCTCTTCAACTTCGAAATCAAACTCTGATCCTACAACTCACTTTAAAAAATATGGGTACAAACATTATAGAAATAAATGAGAATAAAAAGAATGTAATTTTAGACATTTATAATACTATATTACTGCATAACAATCATAAATTATATATTAACATACATGTCTAAATATTACATCTAAGATTATATTAGAGCCTCTGACTTCTAAACTAAAATAATCGAAGTAATTCGTAAAATAAATGTTGCACTCATTCTACAGTTTTCGGCATAGATAATAATATACTATATAGGGCATAGATGAGCCACTCTGAAAAATAATTAGGTGACGAAATGAGGAAAGTTTCTTCTGCGCCTTTATAGATGGCGTAGGAATTATAAATTACTGAAAATTACACTAGAGGGCGCTATCACCTAGGGTCAGTATTATTTCGTACATATTTCAATAAAATTAAAAGGAAATCAATTTAATTTAATTTAAATATTAACTAATTTGTTTTAAGTAAATAGTTATTGTTTCTTTGAGAAAAACAATGTTGTGAATAGCTTCCGCGTACCGGCGTATTTCAAAACTTTGCTAGCATGATTTAGACTTCGGTATAAATAATAAATACCTACAGTGGCGCCATCTTTTAATAGATTATGTAAAAATATCGGGAAAAATAGTACTTTTACTGTGAGATGTCACTAGTATCAACGTAAAAAAAACAAGCTACTGAGGACTTTCATACCCCTGATTTTAGGTTATGTTTCGGTTGTAAACCATTACTACTGATATCGATATTTGAAAACGGTTTTCAATAACAATATGAAAACTAAATATCAGTTGTGTAACCGTTGCAGCTAAAAACTGAAAACGCCCATGCTTAGTTGTCACCCCTGAGGACTATGATGGAATGTCTCGTTTCCAGTAAAAAGGGTCTCCAATTGTCAACACTTACCATACGAAACAAAGCATCAATAAGCTGCTTGCTTACGCTGGTATTCAGTGAGAGCGGTCCACAGTCGAGTCCACCCATTCGTGCTACAACCGTGATATACATAATTGCAGCTTGACTCTACCACGTAAAAAAGTAATGCAAGCAGGAAGATTGTATGTATGCAATTTTTATATAAAAGTTGTTTAACAATTATGTAACAAAGTCGTCGACGAAATTTATTTCTCTTATTGCTTATAGATTGGAGCGCGAAGTGCAACACTTACAGCAAAATAGCAACCCCGAGGCTAGCTCCGATGCTCTGGTGCACACTCTAAGGAAATATGAATCACTCAAAGAGGAATTTGACTGTTTTCAGAAAAGGTATGAAAATAACATTAACTTTGAATCTACCATATCACGAAGTTTCTACTTGGTATTCGTTTAGATCTAAAAAATTATAATAATTTTTTATTTTATAAATAATTTTTTTTTCAGGTATGATGACCTAATAGAGAATCACAATGCGACTCTAGAAAAATTGCGAATTGTTCAAGAAGAGAATAGTCGTTTGAAAACTCAATGTCATGAGTTAACACAAGAGAGGAATGCCGTTGTAAGTTGTAAAAAATATTTTCTTAGGGTATTGCTACTCATGCATAATAATTGAGACAGTGTGCGAAAAGCGTAGCGCGTCTTATGTCTTGAAGTAATGTGATTGTGGCCCATAAACATCTACACCTATCCTCGATTAAGAATCAAATTGCAAATTCCCTTGTTGTGACCCATGATAATATAGCTGCACTAAAATTTTAAGCAAGGAAGGAAGAAATGCCCCTGAAATTTAGAGTTTAGTAGCACTATTTAATACTTTTTAATTTTTTTAATATTTTTTATGTTATTTATCAGGACTGTTTGTATAACTATAAGGTCTAGGTAAATAGGTCATTGGTAATAGAAATTGTTAACTAGTTTTAAATTTGTATTATTATTAATTAATGGCTTTTACCCGAAAATTCGTCCATATAGAATGAAGAAACTTGTATACAACGTGGCCGCTACAATGGTGACTTTAATTTAACACACGGGAATCATATTAATTTAATAGGTTAAAATAACTCTTAAATTGAAAAAAATTTTTTTTCAAACAAACTTAAATAAATAAAAAAGTAACTAAAATTGGGATCACCCTTACAAAATTTCAATCATGAATTGACTTACCTACGTACCTGGCTTACGTTAACTCTTCGCTTCGCGCGCTGGCAACTGCGCAATGCGTCTTGTAACTACTCGTGATCGCTCCGATTCTTTGACGGCTTATTATCAAAGAAAAGAGAGTACCTACAGCGGAGGTGTTGAGTCAAACACTTATCATATTTTTATTTTTTTTAAAAAAACGTTACCCCCACACTAAGATTTTCTCCTGTATCGTGGAAGCAGTTTACAAACACAAATTGCACAAGGACAAACATCCAAACCAGGAACAATTATTTGTAGGCCATACAAATACTTGTTCCGTGCGGGATCCGAACCCGCGGCCCCCAGCGCAGCAACTCATTGCTAAGCCACTGCGCCACGGAGCCGTCGATATACTTTTCTTAACTTGAATAGGTGCTACTTTTCGCGCTTTAATATCCTATGAATGGTTCTGTGATGGACTTTCTGGCGGAGGCTAGTATTGGGTTGGTCTTCGAAATATTGTATCGCATTTTCAGTCAACTGAAATGGGTTTTGTCGTGTAGGCGGTCGATCAGGGCTTTGAGACCTAGGATCCACCGGCATGTTTCCACGGATGCGCTAAAGAGCTCCTACAACAGTGCGAGGATGAGTAAGGCATTGTCTTGACGGCCATATCCCTCGCGATATGTTCTTATCGCAAGAGCGGCATTTTGACGACATTCTCCGTAAATATAGGTCATGTCCGCATATTCAGCTGCTGTGTAGTTCGGATGTGTACTTGCCATTACGATCACAAGTTTACACAAGCAATAATAACACAAATAAAAGCGTCCGTATCGCAAGAGATGTAAACGTACCCACTAGATTAGAAAACTTAAACAAACAAACCACAAAGCGTCTTTATCGCAGTACCATTATCTAATTACTATCCCAATTACACAAAAATTAATAAATAAAACAATAGGTAAGCGTCTTTTTCGCGGAAAAGTTCACAAAAATATTAGTCGACTTAATTATGCGCACTACTGTGAAGAAGTGTGTCAATGACACGGATTCGGATAGCTCTAGAAACGCAAAAGAATTCGATTTCGGTGCAGCGAGGTGGGAGGGCGCGCGTCGCCTGCGCCGCCCGCTCGCCGGCAAAGAGATATCTCTTTCCTTCAATAGTATTGCTTATTCGTTTTAATTTCAATGATGAGATCTTATGATGATATAATCCGTGACCCCCGTCAAATGACCGCTGCGCGACAGTTCTCTAAGTACAGGTTGCTTTAAAATGCTATTTTCTAAAATTTTAAATAAACAATAACTGATAACTAATAAATAATAACTGTTACGGCCTACGGCTGCTCCTCCAAAAGATTAAATCCTCTGGGGCCCATTCAGCAGAGTTTCAACGAACAGACGTAGGTCGGGCCTCAATATGGCCGCGTGGAATTTCTCTAATTACAATAAACAATAAGAGGGAGCGTTCTATACTACTGCCATTCAACAAGGAGAATATTAAACGGAGCTTACTTACCTATATCCAAGGCGACTGGTCCCTCAGGATTCGGTCAGGTCGCATGTGGTTGTGTGGTGCAAGGGAAATAAGGTGCTGTGATGTGTATCTGGGTGTGACTGGTGGTGATTGACCTTATTAGACCTTTGCCGTCGGCAGCAGCCCGGACGTCAGCACCGCTTCAAATTGAGGTAATCTTCCGCGGCGCCGTCCACAGTAACTTTCTTCGTTCGTCACGATGACAGTCCATTAACTCTATCGTACGATTAACTAACTTACAGAAGCCACTAACTCTCGTTTGTTATAAAGCTTAACACACAAAACGAACACGGAGTGTCCGGATCAAAGGTCACTACCGTTTCGCGTGGCAACAGTTATTTCTAGAATATCAAAGGCCGCACTAGCTAATATTGTCGAATGCACTTATACAGATTCTGAGTCGGACCCAATAAGTCCCGGGAAAGGGTATCCAACAAGGAATGCGCGTTACAAATCCTAGACAGTATATTTTCTAGACGCCTAAACTATTCCGCGTTTCCCGCACAAAAATTGACAGCGTGCTGACGTTAGCATAGCTGGCAGACGACTCGTGCGCTCGCGCGCCCTCGACACATCGCTCGACCGAACGTCAAAACCGGTATGGCGCCGAGCCGAGCGCCCTCTGACGTCAATCCCGAAATCAGCGTTCGGGCGTAAACAATAACGTTTAATGAAAATATATTTTCTTCATGAAACGAAAACGTGAAAACGTATACCGGGTGTTTGTGAAACGCTCCCGAAAACAAAGACAGACGATAGTACTAACTATACCTTTGATGATGAGTCAGAAATAAAATCGATCCTGATGAAAAAAAAATCATCTTTTCACAACGTTTTATTAGCTTTATTCACGCTCCATGTTAGTACAGCTAAATGAAACGATAATTCCATTAAAAAAAATCATGAAAATACTTAAACATAAAACCAGCAGTGGAATTACTGAATTACAATTAGCTGACTAGGGTTCAATGTACGCGCGAACGCCGAATCCGCGCGGCCTACAGCTAGCGATGGTACCACGATACCTAATAATTTACAACAACCTAACCTAACCTAATAATTTACAACACTTGTCTAAATACCTAACTTATCTACTTAACCTACTATTTTTCCACCTAGTCACTTTAATTCGAATTCACAGATTAAATAAACCAAATAACTGGTTCGATTCCCCGCTAATGAAAAAATTACTTAAATGAAATGTTAACAAGGTTAGAGTCATGCTTTTTTATCCATATTGTAGGTATTTTTATTATTCTGATGTATTCAGTTATGTACTTATTCAGATGATTTCAGTACAAGTTATTTAAAAAAATATGTATCAAACAGCTTACCGCTCTTAATCCTCCGTAGTCTTACGAGATGCGACTCAATTGTGCTCCATTAATTTCGAGGCAGATTTGGGCTCGGTGTTGCGTCTCCTCATGCAGACGGGGCATCATCGTGTGGTCGTAGACACAGTCCGTACGTAGTTTGTCGAAAACATCCACGATCCTTTGGCGCATTTCGTCAGCACTATCACACTCACGATTAAAAACCCTTTCTTTTACATACCCCCACAGAAAGAAGTCTAACGGGGTCAGATCTGGTGAGCGAGGTGGCCAAGCATATGGTCCTAGTCTGCCAATCTAGTGATCATCAAATAATTCGGTGAGGTGCTCACGGACGAACCTCACGACATGTGGAGGTGCACCATCATGCTGAAACCATGTGCGGCCATATTCAGCCAACGATAGGTCGTCTAAAATGTCAACCAACTGTTCATTTATAAAGTTTAAGTATCGCTGTCCGTTAAGTCTGTGGCAGAAAAACTGGTCCCAGTATGCGACCCTTAACTAAACCTGCCCATACGTTAACCGACCTGCTTGGTGCCCGGTTTGTTGGACAGCGTGCGGGTTAACCTCTGAATACACGTGTGTATTCCTTCGGTTCCACAGGCCGTTTCTGGTAAATGTCGACTCGTCCGTCCAGATAACGTGCTCAATGGAACCAGGCACACGTTGTTGCTGGTCTAATAACCAACGGCAGAAAACTGTCGGCGGTCGTGATCGCCGGGAACTAAAGCGTGCACTTTATGCACTTTTATGAGCGCACGCGTGTCCAAAGTAAACACGGAACTGTTTCAAAAACTAACATTAATAATGAATCCCGCCAAAACTGAAGCCTACTGCGTCCTAACGTCCTTGCGGTAAACAAAACATTCCTACAGATCGTTAAAACGTTATGACATTGCCAACTTTTATTTTATAATTTTAGTTACCATATGATCCCTACGACTATATTATAGTATAGTTGTAATTTTTTAATACAATTAGACAATCAATTGAACCCTGACGAAACGAGCAGTTCGTTACTACAAAAATGATATTGAAGTTAATGAACGTACTTACTAGGGTACTCACACAATTATAAACACTATTTCATTGTTATCTTTGATTTTGTACAAGAAAATAGAAATGAAATGGTAATGAATAATTTAATAGTTAAAATCAATTGCAATTATAATCGACAGTTAATTAATCTAAAAAATCTTTTACTTTATTTTAATTGACTTTTCGTTTTTAATCCGTTCAATACTTTGATTTAAAAAGAGGTACGTCAAAACTATTAAAAATTACTTGCAAGTTTTATTGTGATTGCCGCCTCTAATTCTTATGTCGCTTGTAAACAAATCTTAGTAGGTAAATTTCGGTGCAACATGACAGCGTTGTCAAATTCTCCGAAAATCCATGTCAAATTCCCCAATTTAAGGACAAAACAACTTCAACAGATTCCCCTCAATTTTATTTTAAGAAATTAAGCAATTTTCAACTAATATTATAAGATTTATTTTTAACTAAAATTTTTTTCCTTTTTACCGAAATTTTTTTCACACTTTCCATATTTTTGTAACAAGCATTTTGCTCCATGGAGTATTTTTAATTCCTTCCCTTGTTGCCATTAAAAGTACCACAGTATCTATCATTTATATGCATGCGGTTCTCTGCTTTAAAAAAAAATGAAAAGCATTAAATGATACACAAAAGTTGCCGATGTAATTCTTAAATGTGGTGCAATCAAGATATTTGAAAAAAAAAAGACAGTTATTCGATATTCATGAGCAACCTAACATAATTGTTGAGATAAGTATGTCGATTTTCAAAATTCCCGCATTTTCCCCGCATAATATCAATCCCCATTGTTTAAATTCCCCGCAATTTGGGGAATCCCCCATATGTTGGCAACGCTGACACGAGGTAACACGAGTTGGCCAGGCGTGGCAGGCAGCGCGTGGTACGAAGGGGGCGTGACGGGGGAATGCTCGCCAGTATTACTGTGTGCGCACGCTATTGGCTTTGAAAATTCGATGTTTCCCAAAATACAGTCGCACACAAAGCAAAAAGTAAGGAAAGAAAAGTTATTTATGTCTATTCCTTTATGACTGAACTACTGAACGAAAAGGTAAATATGATGGGAGAAGGTGATTGGGGAAAATTGTGCAGTAAAGTTAAAAGTATTGAGGAAGAATACCGAAAAAATTACCATGTGGTCGATCTGATGACATCGACATGACTGATGACAAAGTGATGATGAAGTAGCATACAGTAACACCAACACACCATCGACATCTGGCTTCCATGTGACCCAAGACGATATAATGGACGGCGTGTCACCCTTAGCTTTAGATTTTACGTTACATACTTCTTTATATTTTACGATAGAAATGAAAAATAATGCTCAAGAAAACATTATTCATTTTTAATTCCAACCTCTTCCAAAGCTCTAAGTAGCTAGTAAAATACTTATTATGATTCTACAATAAAACAATTAATTACTATTATAATATTATAAAACAATAGCTTAGTACCACTTTAGAACTACTTTAGAACGCGACTGTACCCATGTGCAGACACCCTCCACTGTCGCTCAGCGTTCTTTTTACGTGGCGGGACCTGTACCGAGGTAGATAAAAGAGTTTGGCCTTCATGCGGAATTTGACCCTAGTTAGCTGATTTTATGATTTATTTATTTTAAATTTTACTGCTGGTTTAATGTTTAAGTATTTTCAGGTTTTTTTTTTAATGAATGTTGAATAAAGTTAATAAAACATTCTGAAAAGATGATTTTTTTTTCATCAGGATCGATTTTATTTCTCACCCATTATCAAAGGTATAGTTAGTACTATCGTCTGTCTTCGTTTTTGGGAGCGTTTCACAAACACCCGGTATGTGTGTTAAATTAAAGTTACTATTGTTGCTGCACGTTGTATATTTAATAGTGGTCTGTTGTTGAACAACTACTTTAAACTCAGTTTTTTTTCTCTTATTTCGGAAACTATGTATGTGTGTGTTATTATATAAGAAAATATTAGAATAAAAACATGAAGATCTATTAATTTTCACAGAAGAATTATGAGTGTTAAAACAGTTTTTATCATTTTAACACTCATAGTTCTTTCGTAAAATGGTGTTAAAGTAATAATCATCAAAACTAAGAGATTCGAAAAAATTCTGCATATTTTTCAGATATAGGGATTGCTGGAGCAGAACTTTTATTAGGATTAAGCTCGCATTTGTACATTCTATTTAAATATATTATCATCTTAAAGTGTGTATAAAAAGAAATAAAGAATATTTAATAGCTTGGATGAGTCCTGGCATTGATCTATACGTAATGTGCAGATCCGGGAGAGGAACGCTCTGAAGCAGCAGGTGGCGAGCGTGGTGCGGCAGTGGGAGGGCGGCGTGCGCGAGCGCGCGGACATCAAGCGGCTCACGGACGAGCGCAACGCCGCCATGGCCGAGTACACGCTCATCATGAGCGAGAGGTGAGCGCTGCAGCATCCATGTCCCTATATATGTTGCTGCAGCAGCTGCAGCAGCTGGCGAGCGTGGTGCGGCAGTGGGAGGGCGGCGTGCGCGAGCGCGCGGACATCAAGCGGCTCACGGACGAGCGCAACGCCGCCATGGCCGAGTACACGCTCATCATGAGCGAGAGGTGAGCGCTGCAGCATCCATGTCCCTATATATGTTGCTGCAGCAGCTGCAGCAGCTGGCGAGCGTGGTGCGGCAGTGGGAGGGCGGCGTGCGCGAGCGCGCGGACATCAAGCGGCTCACGGACGAGCGCAACGCCGCCATGGCCGAGTACACGCTCATCATGAGCGAGAGGTGAGCGCTGCAGCATCCATGTCCCTATATATGTTGCTGCAGCAGCTGCAGCAGCTGGCGAGCGTGGTGCGGCAGTGGGAGGGCGGCGTGCGCGAGCGCGCGGACATCAAGCGGCTCACGGACGAGCGCAACGCCGCCATGGCCGAGTACACGCTCATCATGAGCGAGAGGTGAGCGCTGCAGCATCCATGTCCCTATATATGTTGCTGCAGCAGCTGCAGCAGCTGGCGAGCGTGGTGCGGCAGTGGGAGGGCGGCGTGCGCGAGCGCGCGGACATCAAGCGGCTCACGGACGAGCGCAACGCCGCCATGGCCGAGTACACGCTCATCATGAGCGAGAGGTGAGCGCTGCAGCATCCATGTCCCTATATATGTTGCTGCAGCAGCTGCAGCAGCTGGCGAGCGTGGTGCGGCAGTGGGAGGGCGGCGTGCGCGAGCGCGCGGACATCAAGCGGCTCACGGACGAGCGCAACGCCGCCATGGCCGAGTACACGCTCATCATGAGCGAGAGGTGAGCGCTGCAGCATCCATGTCCCTATATATGTTGCTGCAGCAGCTGCAGCAGCTGGCGAGCGTGGTGCGGCAGTGGGAGGGCGGCGTGCGCGAGCGCGCGGACATCAAGCGGCTCACGGACGAGCGCAACGCCGCCATGGCCGAGTACACGCTCATCATGAGCGAGAGGTGAGCGCTGCAGCATCCATGTCCCTATATATGTTGCTGCAGCAGCTGCAGCAGCTGGCGAGCGTGGTGCGGCAGTGGGAGGGCGGCGTGCGCGAGCGCGCGGACATCAAGCGGCTCACGGACGAGCGCAACGCCGCCATGGCCGAGTACACGCTCATCATGAGCGAGAGGTGAGCGCTGCAGCATCCATGTCCCTATATATGTTGCTGCAGCAGCTGCAGCAGCTGGCGAGCGTGGTGCGGCAGTGGGAGGGCGGCGTGCGCGAGCGCGCGGACATCAAGCGGCTCACGGACGAGCGCAACGCCGCCATGGCCGAGTACACGCTCATCATGAGCGAGAGGTGAGCGCTGCAGCATCCATGTCCCTATATATGTTGCTGCAGCAGCTGCAGCAGCTGGCGAGCGTGGTGCGGCAGTGGGAGGGCGGCGTGCGCGAGCGCGCGGACATCAAGCGGCTCACGGACGAGCGCAACGCCGCCATGGCCGAGTACACGCTCATCATGAGCGAGAGGTGAGCGCTGCAGCATCCATGTCCCTATATATGTTGCTGCAGCAGCTGCAGCAGCTGGCGAGCGTGGTGCGGCAGTGGGAGGGCGGCGTGCGCGAGCGCGCGGACATCAAGCGGCTCACGGACGAGCGCAACGCCGCCATGGCCGAGTACACGCTCATCATGAGCGAGAGGTGAGCGCTGCAGCATCCATGTCCCTATATATGTTGCTGCAGCAGCTGCAGCAGCTGGCGAGCGTGGTGCGGCAGTGGGAGGGCGGCGTGCGCGAGCGCGCGGACATCAAGCGGCTCACGGACGAGCGCAACGCCGCCATGGCCGAGTACACGCTCATCATGAGCGAGAGGTGAGCGCTGCAGCATCCATGTCCCTATATATGTTGCTGCAGCAGCTGCAGCAGCTGGCGAGCGTGGTGCGGCAGTGGGAGGGCGGCGTGCGCGAGCGCGCGGACATCAAGCGGCTCACGGACGAGCGCAACGCCGCCATGGCCGAGTACACGCTCATCATGAGCGAGAGGTGAGCGCTGCAGCATCCATGTCCCTATATATGTTGCTGCAGCAGCTGCAGCAGCTGGCGAGCGTGGTGCGGCAGTGGGAGGGCGGCGTGCGCGAGCGCGCGGACATCAAGCGGCTCACGGACGAGCGCAACGCCGCCATGGCCGAGTACACGCTCATCATGAGCGAGAGGTGAGCGCTGCAGCATCCATGTCCCTATATATGTTGCTGCAGCAGCTGCAGCAGCTGGCGAGCGTGGTGCGGCAGTGGGAGGGCGGCGTGCGCGAGCGCGCGGACATCAAGCGGCTCACGGACGAGCGCAACGCCGCCATGGCCGAGTACACGCTCATCATGAGCGAGAGGTGAGCGCTGCAGCATCCATATGTCCCTATGTATGTTACCTTACAAACGCTTCTATGTATGCTTTTTATATAATAGTGAGAAGCGAGCACACAATACAACACAAAACAAATTAATAGCTTGGTAAGAATCATCTTATTCCCAGGGGTTTATTATAAGTATGCTTTTTTTATAGGACAGGGAGCAGACGAGCATACGGCTCACCTGATGGTAACTGACTACCGCCGTCCATGACCAACTGCAACGTAAGGATAATTGCAGGTGCGTTGCCAGCCTTTTAAATAGGAGTAAGCTCTTTTCTTGAAGGTTTCTAAGTTGTATCGGTCCGGAAAAATCGCCGGTGGTAAATTATTCCACACAGAAGTCATACGCGGAAGAAAACTCCTAGTGAAACGGACTGTGGGAGACCGCCAAGCATCCAGATGGTGTGGATGGTATCGGGAGTTTTGCCGCGATGTGCGTTCGTGAAATTTGGCGACAGAGATTAATCTGAACAATTCCTCAGAGCAGCACTCCCCGTGGTAAATGCGAAAGAAAATGCAAAGGGATGCAACATCTCTTCGCAGCGCCAGTAAATCCAGCCGATAGGAAAGGATTCGGTCGTCGATGATTCGAGCCGCTCTGCGCCGGATGCGGTCAAGTGGAAGAACCTGGCACTGGGGAGCCCCAGCCTAGAGATGGAAACAATAATCCATGTGAGGCCGAACCTGCGCCTTGTAAAGTTGCAGGCGGTGTGCCGGCATGAAATATTGTTCCGCTCTGCTAAGCACGCCAAGCTTTTTAGAGGCCAATTTGGTCTTTTGTTCTAAATGACCACGAAACTGCACGTTACTCAATATGTCGACGCCGAGGATTCCGATACTGGCTGAGGCAACAAGGGCAGTGCCTTGAAACTGAGGAGATACGAGAAAGGGGTTTTTTTTAGCGGAATTAAACTGGACTAGATTTAGTCGCCGCCAATCCGAGACTTTGTTCAGCAAAGACTCGACTTCAGACACAAGTTTGTTCCGGTACTCGGTGACGTTTTCCTGAGAAACATTGGCACGGCCGGTGTATAGAGCATAACCAGTGCTGTCATCCGCATAGCAATGAATGTTACCGGTTTGCAACATAACATTGATATGCAGAAGAAACATCGTGATAGCACGCAGCCTTGTGGAACACCAGCATTAATAGGCTTATAGTCGGATCATGCACCGTCTACAACGACCTTGATGCTCCGATCTGCAAAAAAGCTAGTGAACCAACTGCACTATTTCTCGGGAAGCCCATAGGAAGAGAGCTTCAAAAGCAGCGCTTTGTCCCGATCGAAAGCCTTCGCAATGTCCAAACTAACGGCCAATGCCTCCCTATTGGACTCTACTGCCTCCGCCCATCTATGGGTCAGGTAGACCAGAAGATCACCAGCTGATCGACCCCGACGAAAACCCTATTGACGGTCACTAATCAGCTGGTGATCCTCAAGCTACCGCATGAGCTGGCAGTTTATAATGGATTCCATTATTTTGGAGAACAAGGAGGTGATGGCGATAGGCCTATAGTAGACGGGTCTGAGCGGTCGCCTTTTTTAGGGATCGCGTGGACAAAATCCGTCTTCCATGATTTCGGGACTACGCCTAGGGAGTAGGAGTACTGGAAAAGACGCGTTAGAACCGGTGCCAACTTTGCAGCAGACCATCCTCTGTACAATTGGGGGGGATTCCGTCATCGACTTGTGGATGTCCAGGGAGAGGAGTGCTTTGCGAACCAAGCGCTGTGGGAACCGCACATCCGGTATGGACACTTACGCCGCAGTATAGTCGCCGGTGTGTTCCCCCTGTCATCTAGAGTCGAGTTGGACACAAAGAAAGAGCCTAGCAGATCGGCTTTCTTTTTTACGGCATGGGCTAGTAAGTCGTCCTCCCTGTGCAGAGAAGGAAGAGATGACTGACAGAAGTTCCCTTGGACAGCCTTGGCGAGATACCAGAATGCACGTGTTCCCGAAGGAAGGCGAACTAGTTTCTCACCAATTCTGCCTATGTGCTCTGACTTTGCTTTGCCTTGGCAATGACTCTTGAAGGACCTGGAGGCGGAATTATACTTCTTTTTAAGGGCGCTGGTGTTTACATCTCGGGACGTTGATGCGAACACTCCTGATTGTAGCGTAATGGTATTTTACACTAGCGATTAAACCATGGCTAAGATTTGCCTCGGATGGGCACCACAGAGGAAGGAATAAAAAGTTCCATACCCTGAAGTACCACATCAGCAACAACATTGGGATCGTCCGGCGATAAGCAAACGCACCCGCAAGGGTAGGATGCAAAAAAAGACCGCATCCCATACCAATCGGCCGACCTATAGTGCCAAACACGGCGGCAGCCTGCAGAAAGCAACCGCGATTTTAGCGTGAGTGGCATCATACTCCGGACTACACGATGGTCCGAGGAGCTGTTACCAGTTGTGTCATGGCATGCCAAGGCAAAATCATGAACAGATTTCCCCGCGTGATCGCTTAAACGTGAACCGACATTCGGCGTGATGAGCGTTAAATTCGCCAAGGATCACGATCTCTGCGGATGGGACCTGTTGTAGCAAGGAATCTGTAGCCATTAGACGTGGTCGATGAGTGGGTCTGTTTCGGCATATCCGCTATGGGACCTATAGAGGCACCCGTGGACGCGCGGGACGGTCGTCTGCCGAGGTGTCGAGAACAGACGTCTTGTACCCTGGGTAGGAGAGATACGAAGTATCAGCCGGAGAGGACACCTGCGTCTTGGTCAGAAAGAGCAAGACCGGCTTCGCCGTCTCGAGATTGAAGTGGACGACGTTTAGGTTCGTTTTCATCTAAAGGTAGTCGTGGTTGACTATGACATTTGAAGTTTGCCTTGACACATACTCCACAGACTAATGAATATTCCCTTATTTGCAATCACACAAAATTCACAGCTTATTCAGTCAATCTGTCAGTAATTATTAATTATTTGCAGCATTTTAAAATTCTTTGGCGACAAACATAATATGTATGTTTTTACTATAAATCCGATAATCTCTACACGGTGCCATGTTTGACCACAGACTTTTACGTGTTTGACATTGGCAGTATGAATGTAAGCAATGAATATTTAGTTCAATTTAATGTATTTGTAAAAACATATGATATATAAATTTTATCTTTATGCACTCCTTCTCCATATAAACTTGTTTATCACTCTATGTTATTAAAAAAAACTTAAACTATGCCAAATCTCACACTCCTCTGTGCGTGCAATATGCTTAAAAAGGGATATGAAGGTTCCATTTCTTCTGTCTTATAGATAACATAATACTTATTGAAACGTAATGAACCGTGTAGTGGCCGTGTGAACTGTGTAACGTCGTTCGGCTTAATGAGTTAATGGATCGATGAACAACATGTAATCCTCCCTTCTGTGACTGAACCAGTCTCTTTATCCCAGTTTCCTAGAACATACGACTGCTATATAAGCTAATAATGAGAAGGGCCTGTTTCAGGGACACTGTGCACAAGGAGATGGAAAAACTGTCAGATGATCTGCAGGCCGCTCTCAAACGTGTGGCTGCGCTAGAGGCCGCACTGCAGGCTTCGAGGGACGAACAGCGCGCCACTGCATTGCAGGTAATAATCGACCAAATTTTAATGATTTAACTAATTTTTTTAGATTTTCTGTGAATGCAAGGGGATGCCTGTATCTAGAAGTGGGACGTATATAGGCTGCAACTTTATTGCCAATGCCCCACCTCCTCCCACGGTCTGTTTCTTAGTTCTACAATGGATGTTAATTCACTATTGGTATAATTATTATTAGTAGTGGTCACCTAGTGATCGAAATTTGACCGCGTAATTCACGGTATTTTACTCTCAACTATCAGTATAGTATATGTATTGTCTATGTTTTCAACTGCTAACATATTAAACGCATATTTAATATACAAAATATAATTTAAACACTTTTTTGCCTTGACTTAAACTCCATATATTACTGAAAACGAAAAATTGGAACAAACAAAACATTTAAACGAGAAATTAAACAACATTTACAGTTTACTCAGTCAATGTGTCGGTAATTATTTTGTTGGCAACATTTTAAAATTCATAATGTCTACTCTGTGGGACTGATTGACATTAGACTGTGAAGTGTTTGACATTTGACATTGGCAGTATGAACGTAAACAATAAATGTTTTATTTTATTTAATTTAACGTATTTGTAACACATATTATATATAAGTTCTGCGTTCTGCATTTCTTAGCTTCTTCCCTTATAAACTTTGTCTATGCCAAATCTACAAACTCCTCCGTCTCTTATGTTGTAGGCGGAGAGTTTACGTCGAGAGATTGAATCTGCACTCGTAGATCGAGATCGTGCTATCAAGGAGTGCACCGATTTGAAAACACCACAGAACACATCAACTCTTGGGAAGTCAAGGTACTGGTGATATAAATACATACAAATTAACAACTGCACTTCCTTTACTCTAGTCTGTCTATCGTAGTGTATGATTTTTTTTAATAGGATAAGGGTGACAAACAAGCACACAGCCCACCTTATGGTAAGTGGTTGCTGTGGCCCATTAGATATTAGATATCTATGTGCGACAACATCCACTTACCATCAGGTGGGTTGTGTGTTTGTTTGTCACCCTTATCCTATAAAAAAAAATCAAAACACATGAAATCCAATCTAGTTTATTATACATACAATACTTCATCATTTCATTTCATTCACTCATCCGTTCATTAACACCCTTCGCCAGAAAGCACTCTATTAAATTGTTTAACTCATTATTAAATTGTCTATTTTTTGTATTTTTAATAATATTATGTGCTTTTTTGGTTTCAGACAAGATAACTCGGGTTATCACCACTTAGGTCTAGCGAGTGGCGTGGGCAACGACGGCTTTCTAAACGGGCAACATCCTAATGATCCCTCATTAGATAAGTTACAAGGTAAATCACATTGTCGTTTATGAATTGTAATTAATTTATATATGAAACATTGGTGGTACAATCTTGTAGTGACGGTGTAAAAATTAAAAATGAGATGGTCAGCATCATCTTTCTGATAACAACTAAAAATTATAAAAAGCTGCGGTTGCCAACCAAACGTCTGCCAAGTGATAATGGTCATATTCGAAGCCTAAATCACGCTAGCAAAGTTTGCGAACGACTGCAATATATATAACAAAGTCCATACTACCATACAGAGAGTTGGCCACCCTCCGGGCTGAACAGTGATAACCTCGCCCTACCGCCGCGCCGGGCGAGGTGTTCACTGTTATCCTACGGCCAAAATCCAGCTAGTTCCGGTAGAGTATTGTCAATGTCGTTCACTTCCTTTTTTTTACTATTCTAAGCCTTCCGCGCAACTTGTCACAAACTGTCAATCAAAAATTAAAGAAAGCGATCATATTATCGTTCGTAAACGTAAAAAAAGTAGTATAAACCTGTTTCTTTCGGGCGGCACGTCAAGTTGGGCGCGCCTTTCCACCTGTAAAGTTCTTAAAATAAATATTTCCAAAATCAACTTTATTGTACGTTACTTAGAGTTCAAATTCTATGACATGACCGTCGCTCGCAATCTATGACGTTATTTTCAACGCAAGTTATTAATTTGCTTAGTTCATTGCGTTTGCGTTTTCGATTATTAAATGAGACGCACGAGTTAAATTCATAAACGTCGTTGACGTATAAAACTAGTTGATTCATAAACAGTTAAAGTTTATACGTCCACAGGAGATCAACGGTTGATTCAACTAGTTCGTTTGATTAAACACTCATCGCTATTGACTACCATTCCACCTGATGGTATGTGGTAATGCAGCCGTATATGATAAAGCGCATTGATTCAAAAAAGCTTATTCACTTGTTCTTTGAAGACCATATGTTGCCATCACATGGCTTTAACAATTATATATTTATGTAGGTAATTTCAATATCTAAATATTACTTTGTTAATATTAAGTTGAGTAGCTATTGGTTTATCATGATTGTTATTAAGATTAAAATGAAACATATATGAGTGAATACAAACGAATGGAAAAGAAGGATTTTAGAAAGGAAGGCAGGAATATAGGGTGTTGTTAAGGTATTATTATATTACCATCAGGTGAGCCGCATGCTCGTTTGCCCTCTCTCAAATAAAAAATAAAGAAATTACATGGTTTGCATGAGTGAGGTTAAGAAGAAGTTAAACTTTATATTATTTTAATTTCTCCATACACATTTCCGCCAACCAGATTTATGTGATATTCTTCATTTTGCAGGTTTAGTGGGAATGGTCGTAGACGCAGTGGATAAGGAGCGTGTGGACAACCTGGAGCAAGCAAACCAGGAGCTGGAAAGATTACGGAAGCAGGTGGACCGGCTTCAGGCGGAGTTGGCCGATGCACAGCGGGAGGCTGAGGTATACCTAAAATCTAGATCAGCTACCACCGGCTTAGGCATAAGAATAATTATGTTAATGCATCATTTAGATACTCTACGAGCAAAGACGAGTAGGCACGAGTACACACACGTAAACACCTTGTTCCGTTGTTCTCGCTACTCGACCCGGGTATTCGCTTGTTTTCCACTCGATGTCTGTTTTTTGGCAAGAGTAAGAGGAATGCTCGTGTGTATTCGTATCTGTGTCAACATACTCGTCATTATTCGCTTGAGCCGTGAACTTTGTCGCAGGTGATTCTTATAAAATAATTTAAAACAATAATAATTATAATACCTACTGACTGTGATGGATATGATGAACGAACCCATTACTTTTACAGAACTTTATCAATGAGAACCCGCGATATTGAGTCCTATTAATCAGTTTTAAGTAAATAATAATGAAAATAAATATTTCATTATCATCATCATTACAGCCCTTCACAAGTCCACTGGTTAACGTAAGCCTCCCCCAAGAAATGCCACAAAGTATATTCCTGAGCTATCTGCGTCCATCGATTTCATGCATGTATTACCAGGTCGTCACTCCATCTGGTGGGTGGGTTTAATCTAAACGTGCCATAACAACTTCCCATCCGCAAGTAAGTAGTTAAACAATGCAAATCTTCATATATGACTCACGGGACAGTAAAATAGATCAGTACGAATATATTAAAATAAAAAATTTAAGCGTATTGTATTGTCACGGGAAAATATCTTATAATTTTAGGTCACAATATCTAAAATTCGGTGCAGTTAAACAATTTCTACAATTTACAAAAAGTGTCTGAACTATGTAAACTTTTTTGTTATAGGTCTCTAAGCGCAGGAGAGATTGGGCATTCTCTGAAAGAGATAAGCTATTGCAAGAGCGAGAAAGTGTTAAGGCACTTTGTAACAGGTTACGAAAAGTAAGTAATATTATAGTAATAATAATTTATTTCTCCTATATAATTTGTTAGTAAATATGAAAGAACAATGGCAGAAAAATAGTTGACAAAAATTATTGCGTCTAGAAATAAATTATATATAAAATGAGTTTTATTATTTTTCTATGATTTTTTAAATAAAAATGTATTTTAATTAAAGCCACAGAAAAAAGCAATTATTTTTGAGAATATCAAATGACTTAAATCTTTTTACTCTATTCAAGTGTTGCCATTTACTATATTCATACTATTTTCATATACACTTTATAAGACTACCATCACAACACACAAACAAAATATTTTTATATTAAGTTATTACAAGTAATAACTATACTATCAGTAATAACAAAAATTTGTTTGAAAATAAGTCTCTTACAAAGAACTTCCTACAATAATACATTAACTCAATCATAGTACTATGTAACAATTCTATTTAATGTTATGGTAACACTAGCTAAAACAAAATGTCACTGTTTTTTACTGGCTTTACGGCTCTGGGTTCTAGCCCTAGAATGTCACTGTATGACACAAAGGCCCTATCAGAAATATACATTTATAGTATGCAAATATATAATAGAGATTCAATAATCAAAAAACTCTTAATTATGTAGATAGGTACATTATGTTGAGAATGTATTAAGCTAACATCAACCAACCACAGGACACATGACTTTTTCCAAGTGACATAAATCTAAATATCTTTTTTTGACGCCTTCTGGAGAGAAAATTCTTTGACAGAGTTATTAAGGGACTTATGCTTAACATTTTGAGATATTTTTGATATATAGACTCTACCATTCCTTCTCAACTAATTTTATGTATGAAAGTCTGCCATTGTTCTTTATAACCTTTGTTATTACCAAAATCTAATTCTATACAAGTGACTTATTAACTACACACAGGCGGTAATATAGCTTAAAAAGAAATGAGTCATATCTTTCAGCAATTATTTTCATGATGGAATTTAAGTTAGCCCGCATCCTGCCGAGCATTAGGCTGTTTTCTTCCTTATAGTGGCTTAAAATGTTAAGGATTATCTAACATTGCAGAGGTAAAATGAAAAAGGGTCCCGAGAATCTCGCATGTAATAAGTGTTTTTATGGCATATAAATGGTCTTTTTTTTATAGGATTGAGTGACAAACGAGCACACAGTCCACTTGATGGTAAGTGGTTGCTGTGGCCCATAGACATCTACATCTATCCCCGTTTGCGAATCAAAATGCAGATGCGTTGTCACTCGTGAGGACTAAGATGGAATGCCTCTTATCCAGTAAAAAGGGTCTCCGGTTCTCTACACTCACCATACGAAACACAGCAGTGTTAAGCTGCTATTTTACGCAGGTATTCTGTGAGAGCGTGGTTCTTCCCCGGTCGAGCCGACCTATTTGTGCTACAACTATACTACTAATATAGCTGCAGCATGACTCTACCACGTTAAAAACGTCTTCTGGGTCTGGATGTTTGTCTTCGTGGAATCATTGTATGTAAACTGCCTTCACATGATACGAGATAAAATTCCAATGTAACATGTTTTTTTTTCAAACAATAAAACCTTTTTAAATGTGTATTTTATTGTTCTCTGTAAAAGTTAGAAGTTACAGCCTACTACGTCCCCTTCCTGGGCACAGCCTCTTATTTCAGAGAAGGTGTTAGGGCTACTAAAAGTCCGTCGCGCTGCCCCAATGCGTTGGTGAACTTCACGTCCTCGAAATATTTTTTTTTTACTAAGATATACATGTTTCCTCACGGTGTTTTCATTTACCGTAGAGCACGTGGTAAATCAGCACATAAAATTCCGCGAGCTCTATCACATCTAACGCCACGGTTCTCTGTAAGAATCTATCTATGTTCTATATTCTGAGCAGTTCTAACAAGTTTCCAGAAGATTTTGGCATTTACCTGTAAATTATCAGATAGTCTTCTATCATTATTTTTCGTTATTTCTTGCTTCTTCCTTTCAAATGCTTGCTAGACATGCGTTATAACTGCCTTTTATGTCTATACATATTTCAAAATTCCTTAAGAGAATAAGGCAATAATCACTGGTCTTGCAATAATTTAAGTCTTTGTCAAAGTAATTAATACATCTGGGCATAAATTCTAAATGTTATCTATTTTTTTAGGAGCGGGATCAAATGGTCGGTGAGCTCGCTGATGCCAGACGCCACGGCAACAAGAAGCAGACGTCTGACGTGAAGGATTCTAAGATAGTTCGACCTAAGGCAATCTCACACGAGGACAAGTGCAGGATACCGGGGAACAGAGACTCCGCTGTTGATGCCGATGTACAGGTAGTTTGCTGATTTTACCTCATTAAAATGTGTTTAGTATTTTTGTTCACTATCTAACTTGAATCAGTATAACGTCTATTGATTATGTACATCATCAACAAAATTGCAACAAATCTTAAGTCCACTTCTGAACATAGGTCTCATGCGATTTATATTTGTATGCTTACACAACACAAAACAACACATGCTTATTTTCCAGCAACCCTGTACACTCTTTCAAAGCCTATTTCCATGTTCTAAAATGTAAAGAATTCTATCTAATTAAAAAAAATCCGTGATCATGTTTAAAAGGCCTGGTCCGTACATCCCATATCCTTCCTAAATCCAGCTTGCATATACCAAAATTTTCCATTAGTTTCTTTCATACCTTTTTCAATCTATTCTCCTGGCATTCAGTTTTCAATCAGCCTATTTAGTAAACAATGCTCCATTCCACGGTAGTTTTTCAAGTGCTGCTGTGATCCTTTTCCCTTGTTTAGCGGGACTATAACGACTTTCTATCGGGACTCGCTTAAGTGCCGAGCATAAATTAAAGAGTATACTGCAGGTTTGCACAACTCCATCTCTTCAGCCCTCACCATTTCTAATGATACTGAATTATAACTAGCTTCCTTAACTGCCTTCGTGTTTTTCATTGTTTTTATTATCTCGCTACTATTCTTTATTTTCTTTCAGAGATTCTGGATCACATGCCTCCTCATTTTTAAAGACGCTAAAGTTTTTTTTTTATAGGATCGAGTGATAAACGAGCACACAGTTCACCTGATGGTAAGTGGTTGCTGTGGCCCATAGACATCTACATCTATCCTCGTTTGTGAATCAAAATGCAGATGCGTTGTCACTCGTGAGGACTAAGATGGAATGCCTCTTATCCAGTAAAAAGAGTCTCCGGTTCTCTACACTCACCATACGAAACACAATAGTGTTAAGTTGCTATTTTACGCTGTTATTCTGTGAGAGCGTGGTCCTTCCCCGCTGGAGCCGACCCATTCGTGCTACAACTATACTACTAATATAGCTGCAGCATGGCTCTACTACGTATTGCTTCAATCTCTTTATATTTGAAACTTCGTTATTCATCTTACAGCTATTCTCGTCTCACATAGCATTTATTCTAGGCTGCCCTGACTTTCACTGCAGTTCTAACAAGTTTCCAGAACACTTTGATATTTCCTTAGAAATTATCAGATAGTTTTCTATTATTCTTTTACGTTTTTTCTTGCTTCTTCTTTTCAAAATAATTATCTTACTTTCTTATTTAGGCGACCGTTATTAAAGAGCCTTTTCCTTTCAATCTCATCATCAATACAGCCAGACTTAGTTGTTGTGACAGCTTTAATTGTTAGTGCATCTAGTATTATTTTGTCTCACCATAATGTTGTATTAATATTACTATCATTCTTATCCTGATATATACCACAAACTTAAGATCCTATATCCACCAAACCTCTCTTAACTTTTCCTACACACGCTCTAAGCCTGAATATTTTATACACAACTCATCTAAATCACAATATTTTTTTTCTCAATTTAATCATACCTCTCTTTCAAACGAACAACTTCTATAAGCCCACTTTTATCCGTATCCATAACAGCCTTAAGCTTACATGTTACTTTCTGCAAGGATGATACCGACCTCCGGACAAGCGCCGTCAGTTTCGTGTACACCAGAATATGTATAAGAAGTGTATATATGCGATAAGCAGTGGCATCCTTTACCTTTCGTGTCTTCTTATTTACACATAACATATCTATTTCTAAAATGAACATCATCTCGTAAACCTCATTCTTCTTATTGTTCATTGCTCCACATTCATCGTAGCCAAGCGGGCTTCCGCAATCCACTTCTCGCCTCTCTGGGAGACAGAACTTGACGGGTAAAAAGGGATGGATTATCACGCCGCTACCACCACCAACGATTGCAAACCGCTATATGTTTATTCGGCTTTTTCGCTCGCTTAGGCCCACCCGGAGCGGTAGCTTTTAGCTCGTATAAGATGGGCCTAGGATTGGGTTTTCAAAGGTTATTAATACGAGGACCTGTCCCCCTATGAAAAAGTCAATAATGTAGACGAGAAACAGAAATGGGCCGAGAATTGAGCCCTAAGGCACTCCTATTTGTACTATCTACCCGAAAAATCTCTAACCATTGATAACAACTTTTTGAGTTTTGTTACTTAAAGAATATCATTTCTTACACCCTAGTATTGTAGTTTCTTGATTAATGTCTCACGGTGGATACAATCGAAAGTTTTGAATAGGTTACAAAATATACTCAAAACATCCTGTGGATTCTCCCATGCATTAGAAATATGTTTAATCAGCTGCATTGGTCGAGCGAACCCTTGTAAAACCAAATTGATTTTTATAAGGCAAATTATTTACAAAAACTTCACAAAGTGTTGGCAATACAGAAGTGCGTTTAAAATTGGCGGGGTATACATATTACGATAGTGCACGCAATTGCTTTTCGAACTAGGTCATACACACCATCTAATTTTCCACGCGGGTTAGTTTCGAAAATTTCATCTACCTTATTTCAATTAAAAGGAGCTGTAGGAAATTGGGTGCCTGACATCGTCCGTAACAGTTATACAAAAATATGTAGGTAATAAAACGATGAATTATAAGCATAAATAAATAGTTTTTATTTCTGTAATAACGTATAGGACAATCATAAAAACACTTTAAAATTGAAAAACGAAAGCTAATGCTTTTACTATAGCAGAAACGAAACGCTTTAAAATATTTTTCTGTATTTTCTATGACAATAAATCATGAAATCTATTTTTTATAATAAATAGCCTTTATTATCAAAAACATTGAAACATTGAGGCGATTGAATAAATTAAATCTATTTGAAAAACAATTGAATATGATATGTTATTAAATTAAAAAAGACATTTGAATATTATCTGACATGATTAAATAGGCTGTATGGTCATTGATCATTGCCTGTTCCGAAGAAGTCTTATAACTTGGTAACTTCGAGTTCACAGTTCAACTTGTCATGCGAATTTCGCATTGTGGCTGTGTTTGTGAATAGATTTCGTGTTTTTACTTTCGTGGATTTATTTAACTTGACCCTTGGCTTTACCCTCGGATTACAAGATAGTAGGTTGTTGCCAACATAATGACAATAATGTAGTCGTGGAGTATACAGTAGAAGGAGAACCATCTCGTTTGGGGGAAAGTTGGAAAAGTGTCTAACTGTATACTGAAAATAGAGGTTCCAAAACCTACCACAATAGCGCTGGCGTCTGAAAAACTACGATATGAACATAGCTGTTGTAGACGGAGTGAAGTCAGCTGAATTCAAATATTTAATAATTTTCATGACATGTAGTTAGTAAAATGCCAATATACAAAACCTCAACTGTTTACGTAGTACAAAACCAAGCGGATTGGTCGGTTTTTGTTTATTTCTCCATCTTATTCTAATTACTTTTGGCGTTTTTTTAAATATATCCTATGCTACCGCAGCGCCACCCTTATTGGACGCGTTTTTACGAACACTTATTCATATACAGAGATGGTCCTCCTTCTACTCTATAATCCATGAATGTGGTATAGTCGACTCTCGATAATTTGACACTCGTTAATTTGAATCTCTCGATAATTTGAATTTTTTTCCGGGTCCCTTGAAAAATACTCGATAAATTGAATAAAATTAATAATTATTGGTCCCCTCAGTAATTTGAAGTTGAAGGAATAGTATCTTGCTCGCCAACATGCAATTATTTGAAATCTGGGCTTCTCTACTCTCGATAATTTGAAGCGTATATCATGCACAAACCTTACGTTTGTTTACATACATGTACAGACCGGTGAGAGACTTCCTTTCAAAATGTTACATTTGTGAATAATTGTATAAAACTCTTGTTTGCTTGATGTTTTCCTCCCTCCCTCTTGGTTATCTGAACTCCTGGTAATTTGAAACTTTTCTCTGGTCCCTTGTGTTTCAAATTATGGAGTGTCGACTGTACTTGGGTTATGAGAGGAATAGAACAGACAATATACAGTTTTCGATTGCTTTTCTAGATGACATGTTATTAATAATTGCAGAAAATAATTAAACAATTAAAAATATTGATATTTTACTTTTGTTCGCGCAAAACTCTGTTGTCGGAATCGACACCAGATGTCACTCGGCTCGGCGCGATTCCGGTCTGAAGTTCTTCCGAGCGTCACAGTGGCGCGCGGGTCGCAAGCGAGTCAGTCATCTGCCAGATGTGCTAATGTTTGCACGCCTTTAATTTGTGCGGGAACCGCGGAATAGTTAGGGCGTCTAGTAAATATCCTGTCTAGGAATTATAACGCGCATTCCCTGTTTGGATAGCCTTTCCCGGGACTTATTGGGTCCGACTCAGAATCTGTATAAGTGCATTCGGCAATATAAGCTAGTGCGGCCTCGGTATTTAGAACTGTTGCCACGCGAAACGGTAGTGACCTTTGACCTAGAAACTCCGGGCGTGTTTTGTGCGGTAACCTTATACCCCGCGATAGTTAGTGGCTTCTGTAAGCTAGTTAATCGTACGATAGAGTTAAGTGACTGTCATCGTGGTGAACCAAGAAAGTGACTGTGGATAACCTCGAAAGGCCCCCTCAAGTTGGAGCGGTGTCGACGCTCGGGCTGCTGCCGACGGCTAAGGTCTAGGTTCAATCACCATCAGTCACACCCAGATACACACCACATCACCATTCTTTCCCTTGCACTACACAACCACATGCGACCTGACCGACTCCGGAGGGACCAGTCGCCTTGGATAGAGGTAAGTGAACTCCGCCAAATTCCTTCCGGTCGACTGGCCGTAGTATAACGCTCCCCCATATATTTTAGTGTAATTAGAGAGATTCCACGTGGCCTTAGGAGGCCCGACCTACGTTTGCTCGGGAAGTCTTCTGCTGATGGGCCCCAGGGGATTGGATCCTTTAAGGGAGCAACCGTAGGCCGTAACAAACTGGTAGCAGAGCGCGATTCCGGGTTCGATTCCCGGTCG